CCCCCCCCCTTTTCTATATGCATAACAAACAAAATGCAATCACACAACCTATAGACAACTTCTAACAAAATACACTTTATAGCAATGATTGAAGAGCAAAGGAGAGATTGGTTGTTGTTGCGAGATCTAGATATACCAGTTTATGTGGTATATATATAAATTAAACATGAGAATGATCGACGAAGTGAAAAATAGAACTAGAAAAATCACACAAAAAAACAACACAGTGAAACACACATATTTACGTGATTTGACAAATTATCTACGTCCATGGAGTTGCAGAGGATTTTACTTCTTGAGGAATTTATAACAGTCGATCACCTCGACTTACAAGAGGATCTCTCACTCTTCGTTTCTCTCTATTCTTCTCTCTCTATACCGAGATACACCGAAGTTACACCGAAAAAAACTCTACACTGAGATACACCCAAAAAGACAAACTTACAAGAGAAATAAACTCAATTTCTCTTCTGCCACAAGCCACCAAGAAGAAGCATTGGGAGAACAATATTCTTCTTTTTCCTTCTTCCTTCTGCCGCAAGGAACTGCTCCTCCACTTCATCTCTTCCACTGCCCCGTGGAAGCCCGAAGAACTCTTCCTCTGCCTCAATGAAGCCTGAAGAAGAGCACCGTGACTTCAAATAAAATCTGAAGAAGAGCCGTTCATTTTATCACGAAGAGAAGGGAGCGAAGGGATGCTTCGCTTTGCGAAATAGAGAAGGCAGGAACGGTTCGCGGCAGCAGGGAGGCCGCCCAAGCTTAGTGAACCGGGCTCCACTGTTTCTAACAAGATTTGGATTTAATTAACACCAATGACTGGCATGAACCACCCAAAAATGTATCCCTTCCACACAGTTCATAAAAAGCCTGTGGCAGCACTTACAAATTGAGGTGCAGTTGTCCAAAAAGAAACGCTAGCATAAAAAGGCATGCCAAACAAGAGTTTCATGCCAATAATGGACTTTAGAGAGAGATTGTTGCATGCTTACGTTTGTTTAATAGCCATTTCATTTCGAAATTCGAAGTTTTGACCGCTAGGTCATGACAGGCAGCAACCTATCCATCATAATCACGCCCATCCTCAAAAAATAAATTATTTTCTTGAACCTAATCATCATTCAAGGGCATAGATAACGATATATGCCGAAAGAATTTATGAAATCTTAATAGTATCGAAAGAATATGTCCCCGGTTAAAAGCATTTGGCCTAATAGAACAAGCTTGTAACGTCATGAAAACACTTTACCAGCATTTCAACATACCAAAACCATGAACATTCCAAGAAAATCCTATCAGCAAAATCAGAAACAAAATAATATAAGTGAAGAAATTGGAGAAGTATTAGCAAAAAACTTCAGCTGCAACACAGCCAATAGCTAACAGATACAACCAGGGAGGTTGGATGAAGTAAAAAAACATTAAAAATAACAGAAAATAAAAAGATTTTCCTTAATAATGAAAAACAATTACATTTCTGAAAGGAGAGGCATCAAGATCAAAATAAGGGAATAAATAAAGATGCCAGTCATGTAACAGATGTTCTCCTATGGTAAAAATCAAACAAAAAAAATGACTATGGGAAATAATTGCAAAACGGAATTAAAATAAAAAAGAACCAAGATATCCTTACAAAATATATTATTGTAATGAAGCTTTCAAAAAAGTATTTCATTCATTTAGTCTTTAAGCAGAAAACAATTGCATTGACTATGACTTGATAACTCTTTCATGACATGTTCATAAAATATAGGAAGATTTTAAGTTAGAATCCAAAAGTACAACTCCAAGGTATTAAACATGCAGGAATAGTTTAACTTAAACTGTTCAGAAAAAGCCATTACACAAGTCATAACTAATACAGCTAGACAATCATGTATCTAGTAGATATTCCTAATTGTCATTCAACATTATGAAATGAATTAAAATTATCCAGTAAAGTTTTTGAAAAAAATATCAGAGAAGAAGGGCAACTATTTCATTGATTAAGGCTATTTTACCTGCTGAAATATAACATTCACAATAATTTGATAACAGATTTTACAAGGCTATACTCTTCTTAAACTTGGGTGAATCCCAAAGACATGAAGGTGCAAGAAAAATGTTAATGAGGTATGCAACTGGTCAAAGGTAATATCACTGAAATTGCAAGTTCAAATCAAGTAAGATCATTCAGATAAGAAAAGAAATAAAACATTACATTATTAAGCATGAATAATTATTCAGGCTTTGCGTGGTTCCTTTTTTACATGTTTAACTTTTTGAAAAAACTCTTTGTTTATACAAAAAAAAAAAAAAAATTGCCTAGAAATTCACTATGAATACTCAGCAAGTATAGCATTGAGTTCAAGATAATCTAATTAATGCATAAAGAATTTACGACCAACACAGATCGACTCAATAAAAAAGACAATGGAAATAGTTTCTTAGAACTTTCTGATTAAACTGCAAGGCCACACTAAGAAGAAATGAAAAACATACTGTGATGCTTCTAATACCGCAAAACCTAGCTATCAAAAGATAAAACTATAAGTAGAACTGAAAGTTGACACTAATAAATAATATGATACAAAATGCATGCATAAAAAATTAATACACTTACCCCAACAAGAAAACGTATCCACATGGGACCCTTCGCCCATCTCCTAACCACAGGCATAACTGTGTTGAAAGAAGTGTTATTAGCATGTGGATATCACAAATTTTCACTGAGCATGATTACATCAATAATGATATAGAATTTTAAGAAAAACAATAAAGATATTTAAGTTGAATAGCCAGAGATATTTTGCTACATTAAATTTAAAATTTTGATCCTATAAATCTGAATTGAACCTCTAAATAGCAAATGATGTAGCACATCAAATGGATAATTTAAATCAGTCGATTGATCCTAGCGCGAGGGCAAGAATAAGAGCCAATTCCCAAGCAAGAATATATCGATGAACAGCCCATCTCAAAGCCTATGCTAGCCATCTTGGATATCATCTATGGCTAGCCACCTTAACGAATGAGCATGAAACATGAAAAAAATAATAATGAAAATATAGAAAAAAAATCCTCCATTAAACAACCAACCCATCCCTTTTTCCATCAAAATTTCCTCTCAAAATAGAGAACGCTCAGGAATCATTTTCCGCTTATAAATAGAGCTGATATGTAATGAAATTTCTAATATTAAGTGATATAATTTAGCAAAATAAATTGATCTTAATTTACTTATTACTTAGTGACTTAAAGAGTTGGCCTTTTCTTCCGGGAAATAAGTTGACTATCTTTTTTATTTAAATTTATCATTCATCTTCTCCGAACACCTGCACTCAACCTTTCTCAAAACTTCCCTTTAATCCGAAGCATCTTCTAAGACTGATCAGTACCCAAACCAACTCTCAATCACTCCAAAAATTCATCTACAGCACTCAGCCAAACTAGGCAAGACTAGAAACTAATCTTGTTCACTACTTGACACCTACCTAAATTCCACCAAGTCTTATCATCTACTCTAGATCAGATGCACGCATCCTAAGCTAACATTCACAGCCATTTACCTTACCTAAAATGCATTATTCAAAGTGCTCATCCAAATCCATCTAAACTAACCCAATCTAAACTAGTCTTAATATTCCAACCACTATTTCCCTCCAAGTCTCTCTCCACTCCAACATAAACTCAAGATATTTTATTGAATATTAAACTAAAGATCCGTAGTCATTTGCAACCATTAATCTCACCAAAAGGCTTCCCAGCATCATCAATAAAATAAAATGTACACATGCCCTTAAATCCACGAAATTTTAAAATAATGGAAATAACAAACTAAAATACACAATGCAAAAATGACCAAACCCACAAGCAGGGACTAGAAGAAACTCAAATATGTCAATATAGTCAAGCGGTTTTAATTGGAATGGACTCTTCATAGACGCCTAATTGACACTTAGCAATATAATGGCCACCTAAGAGTTAAGATAATTAAAAGATTCTACGAAAAAATTTAACATGGCACAAAGAAATAGGTTAAATTTATTAATCTTTGATTTACATATAAAGTTGGAGACTTGGCATATTAAAATTTAACATTGCTCACATCATCATACCGAAGAAAAAAAAAATGTAAAAACCTCGTGATTAAGAGGGTAAAAGGACTAAGTGAGAGTGAGAGAGGGAGCAAAAGAAGGCAAGAGTGGAATGGTTAAAGAGTGCAGGTGAGAGGTGATAAAAGGAGGGGCAACATGAGTGAGCAAGGGAGAGACAGCATGGAGAAGACGAAGGTGATGTCAAAACTAAGATCGACAGATTAAGAGTGCAAAATACACAAATTATGGCTTCATTATGATCTTGCATAGAAAGGGAAGGGTTGTGGCCACGTTCAAAGGCATATAAGGAATGAGACTGAGAGTGAAACAGGACTTCATGATATGAAGGTTGCATAAAGCAAATATGATCTGTATTGCTTCCCTCTAAATTGTTATATGCTCATTATTCTACAATTCTAGTTTGAGAGAGGAACAAGACATTGTGGCATGGAAGAAATACAAGGTAAGTATGGTCTTTATCTCTTTACCCTTCAATTTATTCTCTATTTTTTATTCCCTTTTAAACTTTATATGTAATTGCTCTTGTCAAATTTGTCCACTGCACTTAGCCGTTTTTGTTTGTTTAAGAAGCTTTATATTCCTCTTTATGTTCAGATTAATCAGTTGGGGTTTTCTTGAAACCCACATTTTAAGCGTTGACCATAAAAATTAGTGGGTGCTTTATCTTATCTCCCAAAGTGTTTTTTTTTTATTGTATTTATTGATAGAGATAATAGTTTATGGTGAAAATTGAATGGGAAGATTTCTCCTAGGGTTCATGGAAGCTTTCTATCCATTTTTCCTCCTCTTTTCATTGATTGGCTTTTTCATGGCCAACACAAATAATGGCAATTTTGTTAATCTTAATTATCAAAAAAGAGATCTAAATGTTTATGTTGGCTAATGCTGTTAGACTATAAATTCATTTAAAAATGAAAATGTGGTGTTTGTCTACTCAGCTACTCAAATAGAGAATCTCTATGCCAACTCAAAAGATAATATTTTTATGTTATTTCAAGAATGAAACTTCACATCAGCTTGGAAAAAATATTCAATTCATGCTAATTTTGCAAATCAATTGATTTGTCTTTTTATAATTGTTGGAGTTCTTGGGCTTTAATTTTATACATTGTTATTACCCTCTTTTTTTTTTAAACTTCAGTTTCTATAAGATCAATAAAAATAGATCTGATTTGTTTGAGGCAACTTTCTTGTTGCTTTGATTTCCACATAAAAAATAGTCCTCTTTAACTACCACTTTCTTGTTATTTAAAATAAAAAAATTGTGATAAGAAGCATTTTTTGCTATTATAGCTGCAAAAGTATGGTAGCTATACGAAAGCTGATGTTTGATGTTTTATAAAGAAAAAAAATAATAATACGGATAAAAATTTTTTAAATTGTTATTTTGCCTGCAAGTCAGACAACTTTTACAAACAGCTGCATCCACCACAAACAAACCCATATTCATATTGTTGAAGGGCAGTGTTTGTATTTATGATCTTCTTGTTTCATAAGACTCAAACTTCAATGGTATTTTATAAGTGCTTGATTGTCTACCATATGATAACATATATTAAATAATTTTGACAGCTCTTATTTTTTAATGTATTTGTGTAAAATTTGAGTAATTTTTTCTTACTAATTGCAGATATTTCCACCAATGGTTAGCAAATATTTAATATACTAAATAAGGTATAGCATTTGATTTGAAAAGTGAATAATATGCAGTTTGATTCCAGTAGCTACATGTTTTCTTAATTATTATTCATTAGCAATTACTTTTTTATAGTTTATTTATATATGTCGTAATGATATGGAGCTTTGTGAGACAATGTTTGAAGATGAAGGTTTTCCTGCTAGGTGAAGGTGAAAACAAGAAACAAATCCTCTCTACATACACACTCTCCAATTTTCTCCATCATCTTAGGATTTTGTTCCTTTATCTTCTATCTCCTCTCACTTTAGCCTCAATCTTCACTCAATTTTTCATCGAGTCCTTCTTAGAAGGATGATTATTCATGATTGATTTGTTGTTGAGGGTTTGTGTAAAAAAAAGGAATGTCGACACTAAGTAAATGGATTAGTAAGACATCTTTTCATATAGTAGGCTGTACAAAAACATGTTTTTTTAAGGTAGAGTTCTATGTTATCTTTGCTTGTTCTTTCTGTTATTTGAGCATAAAATTAGCAAGGTTTTAATGAATTTAGATTATTATGATTATCCTTTTTATTCAATATGCTTTTTTCTTATCATGTGATTCTTTAATTTTCTTAATGTAACTTTATTGCCTATTATCATCAGCCTTTTTTTTTTTTAAATTTCAGTTGTATAGCTGTTTAATCTCAACTTAAGGAACTATTCTTCTTCAACACATTTTTTTTGGTGGTTTACAATTGTCTTTAATTGTTTTATTCAGTCTTTTGCAAGGCATTTATTCTTAATGTTCATGCAATTTGATCAAATCAGAACAAAAACTTGTCCTCTTCAATAGTTGCACCAACTAATCAAGCCCTTATTATGATGTCTTTGAATCATGATGTTTCTACCTGCCTTCATATAATTGTTTCCATGTCATTGTTTATTTTTAAACGGTGAAAGACGATTGCGGCAAACTTTTCTTAACTTGTTGCTATATTATTGGAATGTATGAAAAATCAATTTTTACAAATTTTGGTTGTCATTCTGCTTCGAGTCTCCTACTCACTTCTTATTCTTCTTCATCCCCTATAATTGCACCTCTTGCAGCTTCATTAATGCAAAAATATTTTCAACTTACCTAACATTTAGTTAAAATCTTCTGCGCTAATAGTCTAACTCATCTTTTTCTTAGTCAAACCTTACAATAATTAGAAACTATTTAAACAATTATGAAATTGTATGTGTGAAACATGGTTAAAATGTGTTGCAATCATTATATTTATGCAACATAGAAATTTCGTTTTTCCCTTTTTAAATTGGAGGGGCGTAATCTTCAAAGTCAGAAATGTAAGCTTCAAACTATTTAAGTTCCAAGTACATAGCTTCAAAGTATTGTAAGAGATTTTTTTCATTCCACAGCACAAAAAACCAAAATTCAAACCAAGCTTTTTCAACAACAAAGTTCATATAGAGCCTCAACAAATATAAAAAGGCAAGAATTTACATATAATAAGACGTGTAAATCAACTAGTAACATTAGGTTTTGAAAGTTAGTGAGAATAATTATGATTTTTCATAATATATGAAGTTGAAATCCAATAAGCAACATGTACAGATCGTTAATTAACAAGGTCAACTACACTTTGGACTCATGAAAAAATAGAAGAAACAGAATAGCAATTCCAAGCTAAAACAACTTAACAGTGAATTTCATAAATTTACAAGCATACCATGGTTGAATCCAAAAAAAGCACTTGCAGTACCTCCCACGGCTGTGCCAATCTGTTCATTAGCAAAACGACACAATACATTCAAATATTCAATAAAGGAGAAAAGATCAATAAATTCAGAATGAACACCGGACCAGTTATTTTAGGTTACAAACGTGACGGGATCAAACGGAGATCAACAACCAAGGATTTATTTGGTAAATGAAACTATAAAAAGAGGGAAAGCTGCAGAGTGAGATGAAGAAGAACCTGACCATGGAGAAGCTATCTCGGACTAGTGGCCCGACCGTCCAACTACTCGCTTCCTTTCAAAATTCAAAGAGAGATAAAGAAACTATCACAGCAAAACAAATAGAGAGATGAGCAAGTGAACATAGAGATGATGTCTACCAAGTCCTTGGAGAGAGGTCCAGCGCAGTGTGGGCATCTGACTGGAACATTGTCGGGTTTCGCCATGACTGCTTTTTTGGATACTCAACTCATCGGATAGCTCTCGCTGGATTAAACACAACCATTCATTTTTATACAACAGGTAATTTGTTCGTTAAAAAAAAAAGACAGCAGGTAATCTGAGTTCATGCCTAACCAAAACATCGAAAAAAAAAACCTTTCATCCATATAATTACGTAATTTGTAAATCATTTCGTATAAAACAGATACCCAATCCACAAAGTCAGAAATTATAGGAAAAAAAAGGAGCAAATCATAGTTTCTGCATTCGTTTAAGAACCTGAGACTTATCAACTCAAAGGACAGAAGAAGCAGAACTCCAAAAAGGAGAAGGAAAAAAATGAGTATGTTTACCCCTGAAATCGACGACCAGCAATAATTTCTGCACGTCAAATTCAGACAGTAGACGAAGAGTTGGAAGATGACAAAGAATTATACTGCAATGTCTGTGGCTTAGTGATTTCCTAAGTGCCTGTCTGGTAACTGATTTAGAGCAGGGTTTAAGCTGGATTTAACCTAAAACATGCCAGACGGTCATTTTGGACAAAATAAAGCCTCGGATTTGATAAATCCTGATTTCACGGATTTCGACCTAAATCCCGTGAAGCAGTGGATTTAGTAATTCCGGCACGGACGCTTCGCGCGAAAAAAAAAAAACGTGGAGTTACCTTCCTCAATGGTTTCGGGTAGGAGAGGAGCTGAAGGAGGAAAAAAATGGGATTTTTGGGCCTTTGTAAGCCGCGATTCCGTCGTCGCGTTCCCAGCTAACTCCAATTGCGACTGTATCGAGACGGTTCGGTGACGAAGGCGATGGTTTTGGACGAAACAGAGAAGTGCGGGGGGCGGCGGGAAGGGACATGCGAGGGTTACTAAAGCTAATTTTCTTAATTTAAAAGTTAATTTCAGTAATTTAATTGATTAGTAATTAATAGTTGATCAAAATATTAACAAATTAATTATATTTAAATAAATTTAATTATTATTTAATTATATATATATATATAATTATTAACTAATTAATTAATTATCATATTTTGAAATAAAATATTAATTAAATTAAAAAAGTTAGTTAAGTAAATTTTGAATGTTTTGAGAAGTCAAATTTATTCAATTTATCAAATCTTATTATCATATATGACTAAAGTCTAAGAAGCATAACATATTTTTTAATCCTGACAGAAATTGTCAAATAGTTTTTTAGGTTTCAAAATTTATTAAATTAGTTGCCAAACTGGTTTTGAGATTTAATTCTTCTTGGATTTAAGAAATCGGGATTTACAAGGGCGTGTGTATTATTTATTTCTTTTTTTAAAATTTAACAAATAAATTTTCATATTTACAAAAATAAATCAAATCTTTAATATCACAACAAAAATATCATTTTCATTAAATTAAAAAAAGTAAAATATATATACTCATGCATAATTTTATGACACTAAGATATTGTAAATGTAATTATGAAGTTTTAGTTGTTTGATATGTGAAAACATAAAAAATGTTTTGACAAATATGTAATTTTTATTATTATTATTTTTAATTACAGTACTACACATTACAATAATTTACATAAATAGAATAGTTACATGCTAATAATTTTACAATAAAAAAAAGTATCATCTTAATTATTATATCATTCAGTAAAAACCTCCTAAGGCTAGCCCTTAATATATACTTAATTTACATTATTATATATTAGTTTTTATTTTTATTTTTTTTGATCATTTACATTACAATTAAGGACCCATGAATACTTGTTACAGTCTTTGAAGATTACTGTCCGTTTGGGGCAGCTTATTTTGCTGTGGCGGCGTTTTCAAAACGCCGCCGTGGTATTTGTTTAATGCGTTCGGCCATAAGTTTTGAAAACTCCCGTAATCACGTCTTATATTTTGTTTTACAGATCGGACGCGGGGGAGGTCTTGCGTTCGGCGTTTGTAATGGCTCGAATTCCTCTCGTGCCTCTGCGGTTTCTCCTTCGTGATCTCCTTTCTCTCGCGCTCTCCCTCGCGATCTCCTTTCCTGATCTTCTATTTCGTAATCTTGTGGTGAGATCTTTATGCCGCAATGCTTTGATATTCTCTGTTTGGTTTTTATGTGGCTCGATTCCTTAATGCTGAGGTTTTTATGTTTTTTTTTTAAAATTTTTTTGAGGGTTACGTTACGGATGGATTTTTTTTTAAGCTTTGCTCGAAATGTTGAAGTGAAATGGATCTGAGGGTTTTTTTTTTTATGCTTTCGAAATGAATTTTAGGGTTTCGTTGAAGGAATGTGTTTGTTACTGTTGGAACCGTTGGAATGTTTAGGGGGAACTCTTGAAATTTTGTTTTTGAGCCTTTACGTTTTGATTTTTTTGGTATTTTAGTTTCATGTTACTGTTGGAATTTTTCCAGCTGCTTCTAACTGTTGGTATGTGAAGGAAGGTGCGGCCCTGTTATGTTTCTGCACTATATGTTTCTGTTATACCAATAAGCTATTCTGAATAAGCTGCCCCCAAACAGTTTTATAAGACCATCAGTTGCGCTAAACAATGAACTGCCCCAAACTATAAAGCAAATTATTCTGATAATCTGCAGATTATCAGATTATCAGAGTAATCTGCTGATCTGCTTATCAGCAAATTATAAATAATCATCAGTTGCGCTAAACAGAACCTTAATATGATGCGGTGCTCAGTGGGTCTATAGCATGGGTACTATTTTTGTAGAAAATCTAATTTTTCAAGCATTCCCTATATTTTCTCTTAAAAAATATTTATCTTTCAATCACAGAATAAATAATGTAGCAATATAGCAATTTTGTAAAAGAAAGATTTACATACATACCACTTAATTCTTATGTATTTACTATGTAATAATTAAACTCTAATTTTTACATATATGCCACCTTAATTATGGATGAAAATGCGTGTTTAACATTTTAAAAATAAAATAAAAAAAAGTGATACTTTTATGTGATATGAAAGATTGGATAGTATTTAAAAAAAAAATAAAAAAAAAAGTAAAATCTAGAGGTAAGATGTGTGATGCATACAGATGCACCTTTGTAAGACTATAGCTAAAAATATAAAATAGCAGAAGCCATGCTAAACCAACCCCCTAATCTTCAACGTCTCTGGCTAAAATATCAACTTTAATTAACATATGTTGTGCATTTATTTCTCAATTTAAGTATTTTCCTTTATTGCAAAACCTTAAAAATGTTTGAACTTCGAATATCATGTCATGTAAAGTTTAGGCATTAGATAATTAATTAAGTTTTTTTAGTCAACTCATGCTACTCTTATTCTCCTCAAGTTTATCAAGCGAAGAAAATTTTTTAGAGTAAGATTTTGATAAATTTGAACAATCTCTCCAAACACTTCATAAGACAATCCACATTTATTCTTTTAATTAGAGATTATTTTTCATTATTTAAGCATCTTAATGACATCAAAATTAAATAATTGTTGGCTCGTTATATTCTTTTTATTGAGGCCATCGATTTGAATATGAGCATGTCAAATTTTGAGATAGTTTGGCCTTCTAATTGATGCACCAAATACTTTAATAACACTTCAATTGTTAAGCGTTGGAGCCTGATTTTTCCTGCTCCCGCCTCCTTGATCGTGAAATGTCACGATTCCTCTTCCGCTCCCGTTCCCGTTCACGAAGAGTTGTGCCTCCCGCCTCTTCAGTCACACACCAACCGCTCCCGCCTTCCTATGTTGTGAAGCGTAGCATCCCTTCGCTCCCTCCTGTTCGTGATAAAAGGCTTTGGACGACTCTTCTTCAGTTTTAGAAGTCACGGTGTTCTTCTTCGATTTTCCTGGGGATCGAGGAATGTTTCCTCGGGATAGAGAAAGAAAGGTGCAAGAAGTAGTTCCTTACGGTGAAGGAAGAAGAAAGAATAAGAAGAAGATTGTTCTCCATTGGATTCTTCTTGGTGGCTTGTAGAAAAATTGGGTTTATTTCTCTTGTAAGTTTAATTTTTCGGTTTATCTCGGTGTAGAGTTTCTTTAGTGCATCTCGGTGTAGAGAGAGAATAAAAGAGAGAGAAGAAGAGAGCAACAAACTGAGAGTGAGAGATTCCTCTTGTAAGTCGAGGTGATCGTCTGGAGTAAATTTCTCAAGTAGTAAAATCCTCTAAAACTCCATGGACGTAGGTAATTTGTCGAACCACGTGAATCTGTGTGTTCCGCTGTATTACTGATGGTAATACTGTTTTCTGGTGTGAATTTTTCTCGTTCTATTTTTCGCTTCGTCGATCATTCTCCTGTTTGTTTTATTTATATATACCACATCAACTGGTATATCTAGATCCCGCAACAACAACTGGTATTAGAGTTTTTTTTGGATCTGAGGAAGAATGATGGCTGCAGTGAAGTGAAGGCTTCAGGAATCGAGAAATTTGATTGCACAGATTTTGGTTATTTGAGAATGCAGATAGAGATCACCTCTATGGGAATAAACTTCATTGGGAAGAAACTTCATCACCCGTTATTAGGGAAAATACCTAAAAGGATAAATGAGGCTGAATAGAATTTGTTGGATCGACGGGTTCTGGGAGTTATTCGATCAACCCTATCGAGGTTCGTTACACATAACGTCATCAAGGAGAGGATGACTACAGATCTCATGGGAGCCTTATCAGGTATGTATGAAAAGTCATTGGCAAATAACAGGGTGTACTTGATGAAGAAGTTATTCAACTTGAAGATGGTAGAAGGAGTTTTTGTTGCTCAACACATGACTGATTACAATACTATCACGAATCAATTGTCATAAATTGAAATTAATTTTGATGATGAGATACGTGTGCTGATATTGTTAGCATCATTGCCAAATAGTTGGGAAGCCATGAGGATGACAGTTAGCAGTTTTGCAGGTAAATCTAAACTGAAATGCGATGATATTCATGGTTTAATTTTTGGCTGAGGAGGTTCGTAGAAAAGATTCTTGCGAGATCTCATATTTGATTTCAACACTGAATGTTGACTTCAGAGGGAGATCAAAATCAAAGTCTGGTCAGCAGGCAATCTGCTGGAATTGTCGCAAGGCGGGCCACATAAAGAGGAACTGCAAGAATCCCAAGAAGAGGGCCACATAAAGAGGAACTGCAGGAATCCCAAGAAGATGGAGAATGATAGTGCAATTATGGTATCTAATAAAGTACAAGATGCATTATTGCTAACAGTTCATAGTTCTGTTGATGATGGAAATGAAGAGGATCGGGGCAGCCATTCCTATTGTTCAATAGACAAACGGTGGAAAACCACAGAGCTATAAAGAAATATTGCAAGATGAAAGTTCGAGCAAGTGGGAGCTGGCAGAACTTCCACCAGGGAAGAATGCATTATAAAACAAATGGATGTACCAGGTGAAAACTGAGCATGATGACAGTAAAAGGTACAAAGCTAGACTTTTTGAAAAAGACTTTCAACAGAGGCAGGATATTGCCCATGCAGTAGAAGTTGCAAGCAGAGACAAGAGTAATTCATGAAATAGCTTGGAGGTGCAAAACTATTTGAACTATGCTGATATGTTGACTGAGAGTGTTACTCTTGAGAAATTGAAGTTGTGTACAACTTCAGTTGATCTTCTGGAGTGAAGACAAGGATTTGAGTTGCAGTGGTGGAGGATTCAAGGTAGATGATTCAGAGGTGGAGGATTCGTGGAGGATTTAAGTTGGAGGATTCATTTTTGAAGAAAAGGGCGACACCGTCAGTGGAGGATAATATTTTTGAGGAAGAAGATGTTGTAACAAGTGTATCGGTCTCCAATATGGAGATTGTTAAGCATTGGAGCACAATTTTTCCCGCTCCCGCCTCCTCGATCACGAAACGTCGTGATCCCGCTCCCACTCCCGCTCCCTCTCCCTCTTCCGTTCACGAA